CGGTGCGCCAGGGGATGTGTTGGCGGCAGCGGCGGCGTTGTTGGCGGCTGAGGCGGCAGCTGGGAAGGGAACGGAGCATGTGAGGAGTACCGGAAACGCAAATCGTACGAAAGCAGGTCCCTCAGCCCGTCCCCTTCATAAGTCCGACCGAACAGTCGCATCGATGTGGCCTCTAATGCTTGAAGCGGGTTAATGTGGGTCATCCCCTGCGGCGGAAGCGGTCGATGCTGCTGGAAATGTGGCTGAGGCATTTGGATTGAATCACCGTCAGGCCAAAATGAACTGCCGCTGCTGCTGCTGCTTTCACCGTACTGAGATGAAAGTGCTGGATTCGGTGTTGACGCCTGGATTGAGTAAAGCTCGTGACTTGTTGATTAGTTCATCAGCCCCTATTACAGGGAGCTGTCAAGAATTCCTACAGCATTAGCTACTTCCAACTTCTACAGGCTATCGAACATTACCATGGTCGAGTAGTTACACTAAACGCTCCGGACAGAAAAATTGGCTACAACCGCTACAAGCAACCTTTTTTTTGTTTTACAAACTACTCGAAGTTGGAAAGCGAATGCTTCTCACCTGTCCTGGAGCGAAAGCCGATGGGTCGTTGCCCCTCGCAAACCCAGTGTACTCGTAGGGTGGCTGAGGAAGCAAAGACTGACGCGGCGCTGAGAATGTTGGCATTTGATAAGGACTTTGGTAGAGGCGATGTTGGTACATTTGGTTCAACGGCTCTTGCAAAATCCCGTTTTCTCCGGGGCTCGGCTGCCACGGAGGCTGCGCGCGCACTGGAGTCTGAGGTGGAGTCCGGGAGGACGGTTGGCCTGAAGAAAGGTTACTGGACGAACTGCTGCTGCCCTCGGAATTCATCTCAAATAAAATCAATTTTTATTTTATTTTAATGCCTTCTTAAACACGAAGAGCAATGCGCACTCACATGGGTGGAGGGACAATAAAGGTACATAGGGCTTTCAAGTAATGAGAGAGGAAAACATCGATAGTACCGGTAGACAAACACAGGAAATAAGTAAAACAGACGAGAGGGAAGGAGGACACAACATTGCTTTCAAAATGCTTTATTACAGACTGGCGTGCAAAGTTGGTTAACGCAGCTTGTGTCCAAAACCTAGGATGTGGAAGGTGGCAGGTACCAAGGGGGTCTGCTACCGAACACGCAGAAATGAAACGACCCTAGCTCCCACTTGTTTCCGGAAGGTCAGGAAAGCACCAATCACAGGGGCACAGTAAGTATTGCAGCTCAAATCAATACCGGCCGTGTTTCGGTAACCTCGTCGTGCAAGTCATTATATCTAATACAGTGAAACTGGTTCACTGATGAGAGCTTGCGATCGGAGGAAACTTCTTCTTTTTCTTCTTTTACGTCTAATCGAACATAGTAATAAGTGATGACGATATATACTCAGTTACTTGCAACAACTGCTTGTGTAGATGATTGAATACCCTAGGTTAATCATAAAATTCGCCATTGTTCGAGTAAGAGTGGTCCAAATCGCCCTTAGGTGGTGTTTGACCGACCAAACTTCGGTTTTTAATCATTCCTAAAACAGGGACAATTCAGTCATAACAGCCACAACCTCCAAAGTACCGAAGTAACATGTCGCTGGCGGAAGTAACGCAGGGAGACCCACCCCGCCGGTAACAAACACGTGTCTACTCAAGCCGTAATAATCGATGTGGCAACAACAACAACATTAAGCAAGCCAGTTCTGCATGAACATTTGAAATCCCAAAGACTTATCTAGGGCTGTGGTATTAAAACTTAGTAGGAGTTGAGACAGTCAAACTTACCTGCACGCTAACGTATGAGATATGTATGTTGGCTTCTGAGTAACTGATAACTGATCGTCTGTTCATCAGATCATAACCTGCATCCGATGCGCACACTAGTGAGCCTATCGACAAGCTCACGCGTCAAATTGACTAACCTTAAATTTCATTGGCTATTCGTTTGTTAGTCTCGGCCCAATGAAGACACGGCCATGTTACTCAACCAATCAGAAAACGGGTCAATTGGGATGGGGGAGTGCTTGTAAATCCGTTGTTTTACTTGCCCCATTCATTCACCGGGATTTGCAAATTTACTTTAAGTCCTGTATTGCGAAAATGAAAATAATTTTAATTTACAGTGTTTTATTGAACATCTTTTTCGTCAATGAGACGTCGTTTAAGTACCTTTGCACATATTTGGCGCCTTTTGGTGCGTCTTGAAACTTGCATGCTTTTTTTTAGCGAAAACCACATCGCCCAAGGCCTAACTTTGCACATAGGTTGCCGAAAAACCCCAAAATTACTTAAAAACACGTCGACGGAAAGTCATGCTTTATTGTAGGATGCTGTTTGATCTCCAATGATAGTTCATCCTGGATAACTTAGCAGGCTGCACAACAAAGAAGCGTGCTCTTATCATGAAAGAATGTTCCAGGCACAAGGAACGAAGTCCCTGTGTATCTGTCTAGACTCTTCATTACTCACCAAATGCTTTGAGAACATTTTCGAAATTCCCTTCTGAGGCAATTCATTGACCTTCATGAAACCTTCTAACTGCTAGGCTTCTTTAGATCCCATTCACATTACGAAAGGGTTTCTCTTTCTTCCATGGCGTCATAGGATCCCGCAGCACAAAATTCTTCCGAATCACCGCAGTTGTTTGTATTACCGCGGAGAGAAAGATTCCTCTTTTATCAGTAACGAAGACGTTCTCGATGCCTCCACGATTTCACAATAATTTTGGGGTGAATTATTGCTTACCCCGACTTTAATAGGGAAAAATGAACGAAGCCTCCCCCTCCCCCTGCAAGGCACCCTATCGCACGTGATCCCATCTTCGACCCCCTTTTCACAATACTGTGCCCCATTGGTTCCCAAGTGGAGCAACTGACCAACCACTGCTTCTCCCGATTCTACTTATTCTTCGCGTTCAAAAAAGCTAACTTTACTTTTACACTTCACATATTACAACGAAGCACACACAGCTCTTTTACTAGCAAATCACAATCCGTTAGAGAAACCCGTCTTCAGGATGGATGGCATCTTAACCAGTGCAAGTGGTTAGGGATGAGGCTTGTTCACGCACAATCGACCTCGTCTCAACACGTAATCTAAAACTACCCAAGGGCCACCTCAAAACATCGTAGACCAGGAAAGAAGTACATAGACAACGCTGAAATCGGCCGGTTTTGTTGCTGCAATAATGCCGCGGGTCTCTAGAATGGCAGGACATCAGTTATAAGTAGGAACACTCGACATTTGACCGCTGGACAACCATCACTACACAGTGTGGATCACTGAAAACCAATTGAAACAACGTTCGCTCAAGGCCACAGCTCCCCACCTCGGTGAAAGTCACCGACAGATGATTTGTTCCACCTTGATAAATGAATGTCTCCCGTGCTTTGGATTATTATTTTTTTACCCAGTGGTGGTTGTAATTTAGCGTTGAGGCTTGGGTGCTTGCTTCGTTTAGACCTTATCTTCCTGTTAGATATCTGAACTATTGGTTAAGTCATCGTTCCCGAGGCGCATATGTTGTCACTGACAGATGGATGGAGACGAGCGTACATAGTAGAGAGGTGATCGATGCCATTCTGGTTGTCCGATGTCGATGGCACAAGCTTTTCTTCCATCAGGGTATCTGAGACTGATGGTGTGCAGCATCGAGAACACAGGTGTGACAGACAGGTTTAAAGGAAGGGTCGTCGGTAGGCGTGCTCAAATGAGACGCACGAACTTTGCTTGTAAGGAGCTGGCTAGACAACTAAAAGTCGAGGCAGACACGTCGAGTGAGTCTGGAACCCACTTTAGAGCAGAAGTGCTGGAAGCTAGGCGAGTGTGAAACGACAATTAAGCACAGGTTTGTGAAATATTCAAAGCTGAGAAGCGTGCACGTGATCAGAGAGTGCACTAGAATCGTCGACATTCATTTAGTGGAAGACTAGCCGTATTCAAAAGCGACATCAAATTTGTAAAAGCATAGACGTGGTTTCGAAGTCTTACCCGTACCGCTGACCTACGTAGACACGACATGACCAGAAAAAAGACCGTAGACGAAGCGGAGCTCAACCGATTTGTTTCCGCAGTGGGGGTGCAGTCAACTAACGTGAAAAGGCATCAGTTTGGATAGGATGACTTGACATTCGATCGCTGAGCGAATGTAGTCGCATGAAGTGAATTCAGAGAATCGCTTAAATCAGCTGGTTTCCATTTATCGTTTGATGTTTCCGGACCGCCTAACATCCAAGAAGGCTAAAAAACCTCTGGAAATTGTCAAAGATGCCGTGACCAAGGATTCTTTGTGTAGTGTGAACTATGCTAAATCATTAAGACCCTTAATTCATTTACGCCATCACCCTTCGAAAAAATAATTTTCAGTTTCCTAGTCAAATATATTGACGATGGCTGCTACTATCCTACTTCTTTAAACTCGAGTCTCCTATCCGGCTAATGACACACTAGGCACTCATTTATAGAGCATACCCTGAAACGCGAAGGACCGTGTTTAATGAGTCTTTGACTCGCCTGTTTTGTGAGAAAATGATACACTCATCCCGACAATGTTTGAGCATGAACCGTGGAGACATAGCATCAAACAGGGGGACACGACAACGAACCCTCAAACCCCACGCCTCAGTTGTAAAGCCTCTAATCAACACGACCATAGCAACGGAACATTACTTGACGAGCTTGCTGCCTCATAACATGACGCGCAGGCGTGACTGCTGCTCATGTTGGAAGCCCTGAGTGGGTACGCATACTAGGGCCTTTTCCGTAACCAAGGCAAGCGAATTCCGTGCTTTTGGCGTATGAAGAGTCAATGAAAATTGCTATAATTTTCAAAACACGTGTATTTCGCTTCTCAAAGGCACACGGAAGAGAGTGTCGCCACTTGCTAACTTGATGAAGTAGATCAAACACTGAGGCCAACTTAAGAACTGTTCTCCATTAAGCCACAAGCCATTTATATACAACATCAAATAAGTCAAGTTCTTAACTGGGGCAGTGAATTGAAGTCAGGTGATTGGCTGTCACAACTGCTCCCTCTTGGCTATTTAGAACATTCTCAAACTGCTTTTTCGGTGAATAATTAGCAAATTAGACATAAAAATGGATTAAATGATGCTATCAAGTGAAAATTATAGAAATTCGATTTTTAGATAACTTTAAAGAAGTGTTTGCTGCGCAGAAGCAGTGATGATCAGGGACTTAGAAACTAACCATTTTTGGCAGATAATATTTGCAAACTGCGGCTGAGTTGGTTTGACCATTGAAATATCATTTTATTCATGAGGTTTGGGTTAGATGTTACACAATAGTCTTTTAAATAAGGGGCTGTGCATTGGTATTTTAAAATTACACTCCCGTACATGAATCGAAGTACACAAGCAATGAATGATCGTTTGCTGCACTTTGACCTATGATTATCCCCTGACAGCTCGGATAACGGTGTAATTGAGTGTATTTGTAAAATTTTAATCTGCAATTACTCGAAGTCAAGTCCTTCGCCGTGTTTGGAATACAAAGTACCCTCCTCTTATTGACTTCTTTGTGTCAGGACTTTTATAACACTCAACGTCATTGAAATGTGCGATTTCTCCATGCCATGGAAATAGCAGCAGGTGGTAGATAGGATCACTTAAATCAAATCCCTCTTCTTCTTTATATGTCTTCCAACCACCCGACAGAGGGGAACACCTCCCAAAAGTATAAAAAAATCAATAATTTACTAAATTTTCAATTTCTCTAATCACATCACTTAGCTATTCTCTCCCTCTAAATGGCATTGTTTTGTTTTTTGTAGTTGGTGCTTACTTAATTTTTTTCGCAGTGTCCCTGAGTTTTTGAGCGTGTTTTAGTCAAAAAAGAAATTAACTAATGGTGCAATCTCGAAGACTACATCGTAGTACAAGGTGACTGAGCACACTTCCTGTCAAAAGTACATTTGATTTTGACGATTTTTCGGCACTTTTCAAGACGGAGTTCGAGCATTCTAACCAAAGCGGCCTTGAATCGTTACCAAATTTGAGGCAATCCCTGAAAATTTGATCTTTTTTATAATTTAGTTCGACACATAATCTGTTAAGAAGTCGAAGCATTACTAGTCGACATCTCCAACACCCATTCTTTTGTTGCGCACTGATGTGTATCTCAGACGGGATAGCTGGGTACCGCAAGAGTTAGCAGCCCGTTCCATTAAATCCATGGTCTCCCTCCCCAAGTTCTTACTAAGGAAACCATCAACGCAGATACGTCGGTTACATCAATGTGGCCTCGATATGTTACAACACCTTTCAATAGCAGTCAGTTGAAGCTGTCAAATGACTCCAATCTGGAATGATATTTAAGCATTTACTTGTGCGTTAACTGTTTTGCATTCGTGAAAAGCATAAAAACACAGCAGTGCCAAGTTAATTGGCACGTGACTGCGCAGTCACTTGAACCGCACATCCGCAGTGTTCAGCTCGGATTTCATAGCACCATTTCTTCCAAGGGGATTTCACCGAGGTCCAAATTTGTAGCCCACAGTCCATGGTTTGATTTGCTTTGCGAAAATAATTTCCTAATCCAATTCGTGGATAAGTGGCAGTCATTGCTCCACTAATTTTGCGCCTCGACATGTTCTCCCCTCAAGCAGCACCTTTTCTCGCCCAAAACACTTCACTTCACGGGTATGTGGATGCTAGCACTGAAGTTTCTCAAATGCATCCCACACGACTCTACGCATGAAGAATGCTTCAAGATGAGGCATTCTGACGGGATTTTTTTAATGAAGAACTGCGTCGATGCAAGGACGAATAGTGTTGAGCTGAGATAGCCAGCGGAACTTCGTCTACATTTGGGCAACCCGTCGAATTTCATCAAATGCCACCACGAGACTTCCACTGGAGGGCGACTTTGGAAAAACGAATGAGCTCGGGAAGGGACTGTTGGTCACTTTGCTACATGCACCATGTTTCGACACCCCAGAAGACCCAAGTAATGGACAGCACGTCGATGTCGCCTAGGCCCGTCCGCGCCTGTCTGTTGCCACCCCGGCATAGTCTGTTTTGCAGGCCTGGTAACATCGAGCATCAGTTCGCAAACAGATCGCTTTGACATTTTTTTCCATTTTTTGCATACTTTAGAAGGAAATTGCAGGTATTTTAGCTTGCATCAACTGGTTTAGCGTCAGTTTGGACGTACATTTGGGGGAAGCAAATTTTTTCACTGTCATAGCATGAAAGGTAATTGTTTGGCGTACAAAGGTATGTGAAGGCTAGCGTGTTGGTTTTGCTAATTGAATAGAATTAATTTTAGTTGGAAAATTCTCGCTCAAAATTGTTCAGATCGACCCGATATGTCTTACTATATCGTTACGCAGACTGGTTTCACGCTGAAGCTTGAACTCCTTGAACGGCAAAACGTGTACTAATCCTGGTGACCTGTAATCGCGGTTGGTTCATTTTTTGGCTTAAGCTGGCGAAGACGCAGACTTCTGCCAGCCTTAGGTTACTCTGTCGAACACACCGCCACCAACGCAGTCCCATTCACTGACATGAGGGGACAGTTAGCGCCTCATCTACGACCCAAACGCTATTCTCCATCTCTTTGTCTCTCCTAATCTCCCCCAGTCGTCTCAAAGCCGATCGACTATGGTCCCGACAATGGCTTCATGATGCTAACCGAACCCGAGACTGGTTGCTTGAAATTCCGCGACAACGAGTACGTCTACTCGCTGTGTGCCTTCAAAGATGTCCACCAACGGGTCCCACACGCCAGCTCGGGTGGAACCCTACTGGGCACCTGGAAGGAATGGGTCGGCCACCCGGAAGACTCTGTCAACTGGACTAGAGAGGGGAAGTTGGCGAAGTTGCCCTACAGCGAGATGCTGTATGATGCCGGTGAACACTGCTAGTTGCTTCAGGATCTCATTGAAATTCAACTTGTCCTTCAAGAAAGGTTAGTCACACCTTTGTTAGTGATGCAATCACAGCACTTATCTCGAGCACAACACCTCTGTTTCTAGTGACTGGATCGTTGGACCCCTCAAGAAACGTTCACATTTCATGTGGCTGACACGTGCGTGGCATGAGCGTGCGAACACATCCTAGAGTGTGCGTGTGTGTGTGTGTGAGAACTGGTCCCACTTATCGATGTTTTTGACAACTTTCTATATGTCTTTCGGCAAACACTTTCGCTCATGTGAAAAGAAGACGCAATTGATTGCAACGTCATGCCTGCCTCTAGCATTGCTTCACCCAGACATTATGAACCAGAGTTTAGAGTTTTACCTAAAGTTAAGTGTATTTCAAGGAATGTGATTAAGTATTAATGACAATGCACACAATTCTTCATGTTCATAACTTGACAGGATACAAAACTGTTGAAAGCAACGTTAATGTCCCATTGGTAACTTGCAAGATAATAAATGAAGGAATCAGGTATACTTACTTGTAATCACCAAATTAGTAATGGAGTCATTTGATTGGTTTTGTGATGATCACTGGAGTGGGTAAAGAAGACATTGGTCCTTATTGATTAGACTCAGAGGAGCAAAAGTAGGGACTTTTCGGTACTTTTTCATCTGCATGGGTCGAAATCTAATCGAGGTATGTCAGCCTGCATCTTCGCAACTTACACAGTTGAAATAACACGATAATCACAGCCACCTGGTTGACTTTGCTGGTAGATGTTTCGTTTACTGGTCTGGAAGATGGTGGAGGCGGTGGAATGCACCTCCACTGACTTTCTGACCATTGGGCACCGTTCGCGTTCCTAACAGACGCCGTTTCCGAGACGGGACGTGCGTGCGTAGGTGCGTGCGAGTGTGCGCGCGTGCAGCCTGGGTGACACACACGCACGTGGGCGGAGGGCGCAAACTAGGGGTGTCACCGACGCTCGTGGGGTTTCTCACGCGAGTTTCACAAATGTTCTCAGATGTATCCTAACCACATTCTTCTTCACAAATGTGATATGTGCAAATTCTGAGGTGAAGACACAATGCGACTGATGTGAAGCGAATTGCATGGATGCAAACTGATGTCCAAATGGACTCTGGACGATCAGTTTGGCACTTCCACGAAGTCCTTAGTCGACCGCGTAGTTCAAAGACAAATCAACAAGGCGATAACGAAGGTTGAACGAATACGAGTTCTGTCATCTTGTTGAATACTTGCTCACTGATGTCCTTCACACAAACGTCAAATCCAGTTAAAAAAATTCTGCTTCCCTTAGCTCGAATTTAGTAGCTTGTGGGAACATTGTAAGCATACGTCCAGAATCTGATGATAGTGGATGGTTTGCAGCGGAAGCTTGACAGAGACGAATAAGTCAAAGCTTTTTTGAGCAGGTTTACCGCACTCTGTTCAACATCTTCTCTCACTCTAAAATTTAATTGGTAACTGATCCCAAATGTGCCATGAGCACGACAATGCGCACCCCTCTTTTTGACACCATGCCAACCGGATAAATAAACGCCTTGTCTGCCTATTTGCGTCCCCAACTTCCTTGTTCTTAGGGTTCATGGGTGCTCACAATCGATAACCTCCAACACAACTGCGCCGATCCGTTGTGCACAGAGCAGACCTGTTAAGCATTGGTTTCCGATAAACCTGTTGTACCAGGAGTGCTGGCTTAAGGGTTGATTAGGCACGACGTACAACGTGATGTGGCTCACATGTAGATGGGTTTGATAGCAATGACTTTCAGGCGTTTCAGGTACGGGTCGTCACCAGAAAACACCAGGTGGAGGTTACAGGCAGCCACCTGACTGCGATACTAATCATGGAAATCCGTACTGTTCGCAATCACCAAGGTTAAGATAGTTACTACGCTTACTGGACATGAATGACTTGACTATCGGTCGCGTGTTTGAGAGCATATTTGTATTTCGACACCCAGACACACAAACAGAAATGAAGACCTGAGACTACGTAAAAGAATCTTTATCGACTGCATTCATTTTCCACTTATCTGGATACTTCATACTAATTCGATGACACTTTGGTAGAGAGAATTTACTTATCACGAGAGCGTCAGCTAGAAACAGTCAACGTCTTGTCCAACAGCGACGGGTGTTGGTTCCACACTCTTGAAAGAACGGATCGATGGAGTCAAGTTAGCCAATCAGCAGGCGACATTTGCTTATCGCATGTGTGCACTAACTAGTGAGATTGTTAACGTGGTACTGGAGGCGTTATTCAATCCACAAAACGATGTACCGCACGACCGACTAAACCAAGTTGACAAATTGGAGAGCATCAACCAGATTAGACATGCGATGAACTGAAATATCTTAGGTTCACATGATCACTCAATCAGGAATTGAGGAACCTGGTGATGAGAATACCCCAACCATCCTACCATTAAGGGACTCGTCCTTGACGGCCCAACCATCGTCACTCAATACTAACTCCCTCATCTTGTCCAGTCTACCGTTTCAACGATATTGCCCACTGAATGGGTCCGTTGCAAACCGATTTCGACACTTCGAGCTCAAGCCAGTCGCAGCCAAGGAGGTCCGATCATTCATTTACCGACCAACACTGATGGTCACGTCACCTGTTCCCCTCATTTTCTGATTCTAGAGAAGCCTACTCATATCGCCAAACATTCAAGATTAAGGGAAACGCACAAGCTACTGACAGACATTTGAACAACTACCTGTTCCTCTACGACGCTCCAGTCATTGGGCGATTCTTTCCAGATTCGAGAGCATGGATATCAGTTGTCCCACCAACGTCCACTTAGAAGACATCTCCATACTTCTTCTGTGATAGCTCAAACCCGAGCATTTAAAAATTGCAAGTAACAGAATTCTGCTATTGTTTGCACTCACAGCGGTGACTGATCTTACGATTGACGACGATGTCATCAGGCATTTCTGTCTCTCGTTGACCAGAGCAACCGGTACCTAATTGAGACACTGCAACGTGGTGTCGGTAGTGGCGGGTGCGAAATACAAGGTGTACTTGAGTCAAACTAGTAAGGCTTCTTTCATAGAAACACACACATGAGGCTCACTTGCCCGTCACACACACTTTATTCAATGGCTTGAGTAAAAAACGCACACTCGCACAAACATGGAAAACACCAAATCAGCCCGTAGCCGCAGCAGCCCGTGGTCGGCTGCGAGCCGATGTCACGCCTCACAACTCAGTGTGCATTTCCATGAGCTTGAGCGGCTCGTGGTGGCAGGCTGCGGGCGTCTCCAATTTCATCACGTACGTGCATCGCGAAGGCTCCTCGGCAGACACCAGCTTGTTCTCTGGACCGCAGGCAACCTTCACCTGAACAGGCAACAAAACATCCGTCACAATTCAGTGGCTCTTTGAATACGTTCGCAGGCATAGACCACAACAACAACAGCAACAACAGGAAAGTAACCTTGACTGAACGGTTGGGTCCATTCCAGCAGTAATCAGTCAGTAACTTGGCCACCATCTCCTCCCTAGTCCAGTTGACAGATTCTTCCAGGTGACCGTCCCATTACCGGGACCATAGTCGAGCAGCTTTAAAACGACTGGGGGAGATTCGGAAAGAGACAAAAAGATAGAGTGATGTTGGATTTGTACACGATGCATCATTTGCCCCCTCATACCAGCTCCTGTTTACATGCTCTTTAGAACTACGATCCGATTAGGTAATGGCTCTGATTTTGCCCACAGCAAGGTCGGTGAATGAGCAACACAAGTTTCGTGCAGTGAAAATATCTAAAACGGACATCTCAAACTATGTCTGTCCCCTTAAGCAGTTAACGCATTTAGCTACGTCGAGAGTTCCTAGTCTTCACAGGGGCAAAATTTTAACACAAACTGAAAGGGGTCGTTTACTCACGCCTTTGTAAAACCTACGCTAAATTAACAGCTGCGAACACATTCGCGCGCCTCCGCCTTCTCAGGTGAGGCGAAGGTGTCACCTCTTTAATGTTGACAGTTAGTAATTCCGTGGGTTTGTGGACCCAGTAGGCATGATCATCGTCGTGGGCTTTAGTTAACCAGAGCCCTCAACCAGTCCAAGTAACGTTGTGCCCCTGTGTCTCACTGCTCGCTTTGTCTTTTTTCTCGGCGTCTTCGGACAAACTAGGCATTACACTGTACCTGTTTACGTGGATTAAGTAAAAAAAACAATTAGGCAAAATTGAAATGATGTCTGAAATCAACCGGATGAGATTATTTTGGTCCATCCTCGTTTTGCCTTCGTTCCAATCTTACCTGATGCACAATTCAGTATAATGTCATCCAACTCCGGTGCTAAATATACTGACATGCAATGTTGTGTTCTGAAATAGACCTTCTCGTTAAATGCGTGGTGACCGAGGCAAGATGACTTGGCGCGTTTATTTACTTGACACAGAGAAAGAGAGCCAAGAAGGGGTTGATATATCCCTTCCCCAGACATACCTCATTCGGCGACACCAGAATCGCCTTGATAACAGTCTGAGGGGCTTCCAGTGGGACCCTCTTGGGTTATTGAAGTCTTCCAGCTAGCGAACTACCATCGAGCGTAGCTCAACGATAATTAGAAACAGGTATAATGAAAACACTTGCTGAACATGTCCATGGAATCCTGAGAGGATGCCGTGTAAGCACATCAGGGAATATCCGCAAGCTGGCGATTTAAGACAAACCAGCCGACTTTGCAACCATATCGATCGACTGTTCCATTGTTTACACTGCGTGGTGAGCCCAGTCTTTGAACTGGTATCAAAGTTGGGTAGTTATGTGACACCTTCGTACATTTGCATTAGCCGAGCACGGTTATCGAGAAGAGGAAACAGAAGGGTGATTTGGCAAGTAACTTCGCGACGCACAGTTAATCGACCAATTGGTTTTGCAGCTGTGCCCACGTTGTAACCAACCTGACGATTGTTGACTTACTGATGAGAATTGGTTGGTCGAAACAGATGTTGCTTGAATAAAAGGATTGTAGTGTCGCTCTGGATGTACCCACTCGTCTCCAATCCCTCCCATTAGAAGACCAATGAATGGGAAAGGTGCTCTGACCTCCGGAACGGGGGTGGATACTGCGTTGTCTAGACCCCGTCTCAGATGCCTTTTGCTCAGTCAATACCGAGACGTATGCACACACGCGCCTCCCTTTCGCCTCGTTTGGGGAAAAGAGGTGTTACCTTGACACTCCGAAACCACCCACTCCCGGCCCTATTACATTTCGTCTACACCAGGGTATTTTGGGTTTAATGTGGGTCCCAGTAACATAGACTGACTAGTGAAAGGTGAGTACGTGTGGCAGTTTGAAACGAAACTTGTATTTTGCAAAATAATGCAATGCATTTGCCGGAATTGTGAACGTCTTCAAGTCTAAACGGCTCACGTGTAATCAGGTTAATACCTGACTAGCCTAATTTAAGTGATTGTGGTGTGCACCTGGAAGGCGAGATATCGGTGTTTCTGAGGCGACTGACGGTTCGGCGCACGACGTTTACACGGTCTGTGCGTGCTTAATCGCAAAAAAACGAGAATTTCTACAAGGCGTTAGGGCTCAGTGATCGAATGACACGTACGGATCTAAGTCTTGAGCAGGAGTTGTTTAGTGGCCTAAAAATTTCTTTTTTTTTCTTTAAGAAAAAGCGTGAATCTGTAAATCTGAGCAATTGTCAGCTAGAGCGAATCATGTATGGTCTGCCCAGAATGCTACCTGCATATATTCTTAAAGTATCAGATCATATACATTGTGATCAAGTGACATGTCGCCCAAGTGACTAGAACACACGCACACCCGCACAGAGAGAGCAATGGTGAGGCCAGTGTGCATGTCTGTCGTGAAAGCATCCTTGATGAATACGTGTTCCATGACCAAGAAAGCAGGCTGCAAATGACGGTTAGCTAAGGCAGCATCTTCCTACCTGTTGCGTTCAGCATCAAGGTCGTTAAGTGATAGTTTGAGTGTCCTCAAACGTCCACCGTAGTTGGGATGAAACGCCTCACACCAGGATGCTGAGATGGTGCGCTTTTTCACCATGTCTTTTGGAATATCACCAACCACACAACCAATCCGATCTTCAGGTTTTTACGGCACTTGAGTTAAATTTTACTTAAATGGGTCCACCGTAATTCTGAGCGATTGGCATAGCGCAGTGACCGGACACAGCGTGATCTGGTAGCACGTGTAGATTTCTCAACATCATTACCTTCTACATCGCGCTCCACTCTTCACGATGTGCAAGGGAATCCCAAAAAAACAAGAAGCTGGCCTACATTGGTAAGACTGGATGAACAGGTCTGCATCTGCTGGTCCAGCATGGTGAAGGCAGCGACTTCATTCGCCATGAAGGGACGCCATCGACCTATTCGTCAACGAAGTATCGAGCTGCTATTTACTTCTGCTTAAATCATTCAGTCAATGCAAACTCAGTGACTCTACAACCTCTGTTCACATCGCGTTAGTGGAACAATTAAGTGAGGCCAATTGCACTGTCGACAGTCGTACAGCCAACCGCGATGCGGAACTGTCTCGTACAGCCATCGTAAGTACTGGAGTCTCCACCAAACTGCTGAATCTTCGCAAATCCACCGGATTGTATGAAATTTATATTATGGCTAACAAAACGACGCGTTGGTGTCACATGATAAGGCGATTTTAGGCAGGTTACATCTATTTCTCCAACTCTATTCCTGTTTCTAGCTCCAATGGACTCACTCTTGTACTTTCCCAATCTACTCACTAACAGTCCATTTCGGATCGATCAATGGGCACTTGTGGAATGGCCAGTGTGTATGTCTATACAGTTCAGGTGCTTTGGCTAGTCATAATTGAAATAGCTTGTTGACTTGAACGGTTTACGCTAATGTGGTTTCTAATGCTTGCACAGACATAACGGGGTGAAGAAAATCTAGAAAGGATAGAGGTATTTGAAAAACATCGTGTAATTATATGCGTGAAAGAGTAAGCAAACCAGGGAATTTACTCACCCTCAATCTAGCGCCATTTTGCATTAATTTAATTCATGAGGGCCGATACTGGGCAACGTCATTCTGGGTGTAGACGCTCATTCACTGGCCTACTGATGACTGCGATAGAAACCACGTTGAGGCGAGCATTAAGCGAAAGATAGAAGTCAAATTGTGTGGCAGGAACCCGAATCTCTCTAACTCTATAATTGTTTGAATGCTTCAGCGGAAGCAAAGCATCCAATCAGAGTGAAGGACGCAAGAAAGGCGCCCTTTCAATGAGGGCAGGTGGACAAGCATGAAATGCATTTATTGCAGTCGCTTGGGTCTTAAGTTGGCATACCTATTAAGCCTATCTTCAACTTGGCCTCAGACACTCTACAATGCTCAGAACTTCAAATGCTCACCTACACGCCTGAGTAGCCATAATCAACCAACCACTTGGCTCAAGTAGTTGAACATTGAGCAATTGCCAAGAGTTGCACATGTTGTCAATGCTACGGCAAAGAGATGAACTGTGCATGGCAGGTAGGTCCGGATTATTCTAGGTTGTCTCGTTGTGACACACATGCAGGCTCGCCCTGACGACTCTAGGGATCCAGTCCTGACAAGGTGTCGATGGAATCGAACACTGCTACAAAGTCTTCCATGGAACTAGTGTCTGTGTTTCC